TCAGAAATGGGAAGCACTTTACCTTTGCAACAGATCTAATCTGACAAAAAAAAAATACGCTACTAAAATTGATAATTACTGATATTCAAGTGTCTTATGCTAAAATAAGAAAATATAAATAAAAATCTAACAAGACCTCAGCTGTAGAAAAATGCTTCCATTATTGCGCCACATTAAAATGAGCATTTTACCACATCATTTATTTCAGTTTCACTCATTTAAATAATGAAATTGCTTTAAAATGGAATATACTGTTGAACCTGTTTACACGAATGGAAGAAGCTACTTTTAGTCGCTCCCTTTGTCGCAAGGGGTCACCACAGCACATGCGTGGCGGATTTTTATACCACATGCTTTTTTTTGACACAACGCCCAAGAAATCTGCATCTCCTCCTTGGATTAAACCAGCGATCGGTCGCTTGACAGGCAGATGTGTAAATCGCTACACTGCTGAGTCACATGTGGAAAGAAAAATAGTGAAAATAAAAGTTAAGAAGTGGAATGAACTAATATGTGGATTAAATCATCCACAGTTTTGCCCATGCAATGAATTCAACATGTCTGCAGCTGTTCTCCAGTCAAACTGTGGTCGAATGAACTCCGACAATCTGCAACACAATTACATTTGAGTGGAATAAGGAAAACAATTAAACATACACTAGTTTCCTCTGGTTAATAGCTGGGAGCTATGCTGTTCAAGTGAGTTCAATTCATTGCACATTTCTAGCGCTGTGTGTGCCTCAGAGATGAAATATCAAAGGTAGGAACTGGCCCATCCTTGTGCATTATGCAGCTCATCCAGCAGATGGCGCTGTAGCTCAGCAGATGTTGCAGTTTTACTTGCGTGGAGTGGACCAGACAGTTGAGAACTATAAAAGCATTGTTTCAGCACACAGTTCTCCACAAAATGAGCTTCACACGTTGGCATTTTAAAGTCTTCTTCGTAGTATGAACAAAATGTGCCGAACTCAACACCCCTGACTTATGTGGCTCTGCTCTCTCTAACAGACTTCATTAGTAATTGATGTGTCCTTGCATGCAAGTTTGTCTGATAGCAAAAAGTTTGTGTGTTTTTGGTTTTTATCAGCTTTGCGCTCACAGAAAGACTGTAAAAATAAATCTCACGGGGAAGTTTAAGAGGCAGAGTACTGATTGAAAATGAATGAAAACTTTCAAACAAAGAGAAATCTGAAATGCTTAAAGTCATTAGGGCAGCTGCCAGAGAACATCAAAGAGGCAGAGTCTGTGGCAAGTTTGCCTTTAATAAATGCTTGTAGCTCACAGAGCTGTATGTTTGAATGTGGAGGCGCGTCGGGCCGGCCTCTCCATTGTGCATGTGTAGGTGCTGAGTCCTGCCTGTCAAAACAGCTGGCAGCTCCCCAAGATCTTTTTCACGAAGCAATGATTCATTCAAACAAAGAGCAAGCCGGGGGACTGTTGGCACATTAAACACGAGATCAACTTGATTGTCTGGGAACAACGGCCTGGTTGCAGAAGTGTTACAGAAGAGTGGGGGGGATAAATTACAGATGATCACTCATTTTCAGTCGATCATTTATACCTATTAACATCTGTGCACCAAACGAGTTCCACACTTTATGGAGAAATATATTAATCCCTTAAAATCTCACAGTCTTTTTGCTTGAAATGCTAAAAAAGTTTAAAGCTGGCCTCTTTGATAGCTGTGGTGGATTCACAGCATTAGCAAACTGAAAAAAGACCAAGAAGTCACAAAGAAAGAAGCTTTAGTTTCCTGAACCTAATCCTAAAGCACAGGGGACTTCTGCTGGGTCGATCCATGTGCTCAGTCTTCCAGTCACATTATTACTATTGTCAAAACGTGAGTCCTTGGGGCCACTTTCTGAAGCCATGAATTTTAAAATCATTTTCAGTGAAGAATTCTTTTAGACTGAGCTGATCTACGAAGCAGGGGCTGCTTCGTAGATCAGCTCTAATCCATTAAATAGCAGAGCTTCTGTGGGACCAGGTGGAAAAAACTTTGTCTTTAATTATATTTGCTAATGAATGAGTAACAATTACAACTGGACACTTGATTGTTCTCAAATCCACCCAGGAACATGTAAAACAGATAACTGACTAATTTTAACTGTCTGCTTATTAGAAACAAATGTATGGACTTTTACTAGGTCGACATAAACTGTGCACCTGTAGCGGCATCTCTTACTGTTTATGAGTGCCAATAATATTTTATAATGAACAGTTCAAAATATTGGCTTAGATGTGATAAAATGTTAGTAAGTTTGAATGTTTAGTGAATATAAATGTAAATGACGACCTCTAGAGAGGAAGCTTTTTTCATGTCATGTTTTGTTATGTAGATGATGAGACACTTTAGTAAAAAGATTTCATTAGCCTTTATTTTCATTGCAGGAAAGATAAGAGAAGCTTTACATGGCAGAGAGAAGTTAAAAGACTGAAGTGATTCTCACTGAACCCAATTCATGTCTGTCCATCCATCCCTGACCTTAAACTTTTACAGTGCTGTACTGTAGGATTTTGATGTGCTTCATGGACAAACAGGATTTTCTCCCCATTCTCCGATGATCTACCGCGCTTTGAAAGTCGACGTGTGTTTAAGCTGAGGGCGGCTCCCACGCGCCGAGGTTAAAACGTCTCTGGTCAGGACGTCCTTTAGTGAATTAGCTGGTGTTGATGCCCAACTTGACAGTTAATCAGAGGTGGCATCAATTAAACTGCTCTGGGCTCAGGTTGCTGCCCTGCGGTGCTGGGAGTTTTGTGCACCGCTGACCCCCCGGGACTCATATACGGACGCTCACGGTGAGCAGCTGGAGCCCAGTTAACCACCGCGCCACCCTGGACTGTTCCCGGCCCTCCACTGCGAGGTGACTCTCAATTATGGATGACCATCATTAGAAACTAGACACGCCGGAACACAGGGTTACCCAGACTGGCACACACAGGCGCGCACGCAAACACTGTGATGGACACAGCGATTATGCTCAGAGACACCCAAGACTATTGAAGTGCTAATGGAGTAACACCATCCATTTCATTCCATAAGCACTGCACCTGTAACCCCTGTGGCCTCCAGCTCACCACCAGTTAGTATTTTCCATATCAGTGTCATCGTTACTAGCAATTTAAAAATCTGTGTCATATCATGATATTCGAGGGGGGGTAGCTGAGTGGATGAGTTCTTCTCTTTCATGCATGATAGCGATACAATATTCTTGTCTATTGTACATATTTGTGGTTTTGTATCAGCTCTTAATCCTGCATTTGTTCTGGGATCATCTGGGGACATCTCTCATCAGTCGTTAACAGATGAACTGAGCTGTAGACTGTAGACGGTGGCATTATGCGTTCACAGTGTACGCGCACGCAGGCACACACATACGCAGACATGAAGGCTTCAGCTTACAAGTACAATCAGGGTACGTTGGGTTTTTTTGTGGGCTCTTTTCTGCAGCTTTTAAATACACGATTCTCCCTCAGGATTAGTCTGCACGGAGACAACGTTTTGTGCACAGACAATCAAAAGCAATCTAACGAGACCACATTGTTGCATAGCAATTTAGTAAAGACAAAGACACTGATCCACAGAGGGTGGTGTGAACAAATGCTAGTTAAGACAAGAAATTTACAATGACTTTATAAATGTGTACAAAGACAAATGAGGAAAGAAGGGAGACTGGAGGGAAATGATGAGTGAAAATAAGATTTAGGACACATCTGCTGGGTTCAGAAAGCTCACGGCTGCTGTTTCTAATGCTTCTCTAATATTTAACTAACTTAACAAAAAACAGCAAACATCAAAAGAAGTTGCAGGGAGACAAGTCCAGGCATGTTTGATGTCTGACCAATTTTAACTAAATGAGCACACATGACTAACTGCCCTTGACCACAAGCAACCATCCCTATAGCATCTTACCAAATGGGCCATAACCTTCAGGTGTGTGTTATCTCAGATATTGGGCGTCCCAGCAAACTCACTTCAAGGTCAGACTATGCAATGCTTTTTAAAAACTCAGGAGCTGCATCTCAGACTCTACAGTTAGCAT